TTCATGCTTTATCAGCATATTTTTCACTACCACCCGTTTCTCTTTCTTTTTCTGTGTAAAGAGAAGCACAGAACAAGAACAACTTTACTTTCAGTTACATGATATTCTATTATTTTAATTAAAATCCTCAAAGTGAATAATTATCCTGAGATATTGATGAAGCATGGAGGGATGGCTATGTGGTAAGTACAATTTCCTTCCCTCCTTCCTTTCTTCCGAAAAGAAAGTAGTATATTCCCAATTAAGATTTCATATAACTTTTGTATAAACAGTGTTAGATACAAACAGCCTGGATTTATTCTTTCAATCTCTTTATTCTTCCCATTTCTTATACCCCACCATTGCATTATAAATCTGATTCTATGTATTTTAAGACACCGGTGATATGAAATAGTGACATAAGTTTATCTATAAGGAAGATGTGCCTTGGAATAAACCTTTTCTGTCACCTTATTTTTATAAACTGGAAAACACTATTCATGTCTTATCCCTAGACTTACCATAGTCTTCTGAGAGGTAAATATGGAAGATAAAACCTAACATACACCAGGATGAGAAAGTGCAGGCATTAATCCACAGCGTGGATTATAGTGATTCATGGCAAGAGAAAAGTCCTAAATGTACCAAGTTCTTCTGGTATTCTAGCTGTCTCATCTCTCCATGGTGATACAAGAACTTTCAAATCTGGCTTTTAAGATAAGTTTGCAGATTTAAGCACATTAATTTGGGAGCAAACCCTATTAATTCAATACAATTTTCACTTATGTGTCTAGGAATGAGTTATGAAATAGCTACCCAGCAAATGATAAAGTTCAAACTCAGGAACATTAAAAGAATGAATAAGAATAAATAAAATCATGAAACAAATCAAGACTTTTAACAGCTGTGATCTTAGTCTGGCTGGCTGTAAAAGAGTTTTGATCTGTAGCAACAAGAAGTTAGCAATGTGTTCTAATGACAAATTCATACTACATTAATCCTTGTCTTCTAAGTCCCAGAAGTAATGACTTGGGGATTTCCAAATGTTATTTTGTACTGTTAAATTAAACTATTACAGTGACCCTGTCGATTACAGAAGACAGACCAATTGTTTTTATGTGTTCCACATTAAATAGCATTCCAGCTTTTAAATGAATCATTCAGTTAGCTGAAAAATATTTCAACAAAGGAAAATTTGAAAAGCCTAGCAACAATGCACAACAAATCAGATAATAGGTACTTTCTTTTTATGTAATACTTCAGTCACCAACAAAGTGAAAGTATTTCAGCATGAATATGTCATAATTCATTTTAATATAATGGCAACAATACAGCACTCTTTCCCCAGCTACTTGGATTGCTACTTCATATACGTGGATGGTTTATATAGTTGGTTAAATCTCAAGAAGCTTGTCTTTTGAATTATATACTCCTGTTTCTGCCTTCGACTTGAGACCTCACAAGGATCCCAGTTACTAATGACTGTAACTTAAACAGTGCTTTTCAAAATGACAATGCGAAGAATAACATAATTATGCTCTTTGGCTTTCCAAAAAGGGACCAATATTAATAAAGGCATTTTAAACACACAAATCCCCAAATTCACTGCAGATAGTAATTAAAATTATAAGCAGTTAAGTATACAGATTTAAATATAGAGTTTTAAATGCTGGTTGGTTTGTCAAATTCTCATTTGCTTTTTATTCTCACTTCTCTTCCCCCAGCTTTTCAACATTTTCAAACATATGTTTTTTCCCCCTTTCAGCATTATAATCAGATTTAAACAAATGCCTGTCTCCATGGAGGTAAAAAAAAAGCATTTTGGCTAGCTCCAATCTGCACTCTGATAGACTGAATGTAGTCTAAATCCATCATATCATGGATTGAATTCCCATCTAAATGGATCTGTTTAATAGAGGAGAGTTCACTTTCAAAAACACGCTAATGTATAATACATAATATTAGCAAAATAATCAAAAGTGATTAAGCTTGATGTTCAGAGTGGTACTAAATATAATATTATTTAAAATGAAATGTTCCAACTGGGTTCACTTTGTCTGTTATTATATAGAACTAAGCACTGAGCAAAAAGGTTTTCCAGATTATTAGACTGAATTCTAAAATAATGTGAAAACCGAAATGCTAAAAATATCTTAAGCAATGAATGTGTGTGTAAATACACCCAGACACCCCACCCACACATGCATGCAATTGTATAGCAATAGAACTTAGACTTATAGTATATACCGCTTCACAGTGCTTTACAGCCCTCTCTAAGCAGTTTACAGAGTCAGCATATTGCCCCCAACAATTGGTGCTCATTTTACCAATCACATGACCTCGGAAGGATGAATCAACCCTGAGCCAGTGAGACTCGACCTGCAAACTACAAGTTTCCTTTGTTATGGACAGATCACTGCCTGGTTAAGTGTGGTAAGATAAGGTGCCCTATTTGATTCTATATTTCTCTCCCAAAGCTTGAAGGTAACGTTTCTTTTGTTTGCCTGCCAGATACAGTACATTTTCTGTAGAGATCCTGACCAGATAGAATGACTCTAAAATGCACCTAAGTCTTTGTGTGCAGAGTTTAACAGTTTCACAAAAGCAGGGGATTTTTTTTCTTTCTATGTACAGCACACCAGAGAAGTTCTCCATGATTCAAAAAAGGAGGACACCTGTAGATTTATCTGTTTGCCAAGTGCTATGGAATTCCAAATTCCTGGAATTCAATAGCATTTTTGGATTTAGCTTAGTGTAGGATGCTCACAGTTTCTAAATTGGAACTATGGCTGAGTTTATCCACATGTTGTGAGATTAAGGAGTTTTTCATTATGCCTTTTGACTGCTAGTTGGTATTCATGGATGGGCTCTTCTGCCAGTCTGTCCTACACATTAGCTGTTACTGTTCTTATACTATATGTTATAGATGACTTCTGTTTTTCTTCTTCTTGGGATCCTGGGTCTTTTGGGTTATTTAAGGTGTTTTGGAGAATTTGTGTGCTACAGTGATGCCATGTAGTTATTAATAGCCTGTTGGTTGTTTCTGAGTTGTTTTTGATATAGTGTTATTCTTTTTCATAATTTGTGTTGGTTGTGTTGTAATAGGTTGATGATCAGCCACTTTCTGATAAAGTTGGGTTGGGCAATGGGTTGAAAACTCAATCCTTTTCTTGAAAAAATATATGGGCAGTCTGCAGAACATTTGTACTCATCTGAATAAAGTTCTTACACAACTTCTCTTGTAGGAGATTGGGTAGCTGCTTTGGTAAAGGAGCACTTAGTGTAAGTTGTTTAGGATGAGGACCCAGGAAAGGTAGTGTATTGTTTTCTTCTTTCTTCGTGAAATGCATTGTTTTGAAGATTTATTCATTGTTTCACATGTCTTTTCTAGATGATCCTTTTAATATGACAAAGGTGTTGTCTACATACCAGATTGTACTTGTGGGAGTTCTATAGTTTTCAGATGCTATGAATCCTGAGATCAGTGATCCAATCAGTGTTCTGATTTCCTGGTGTTTCTTACTTGTCAATCAAAATAGTGAGGCAGACCCTGGTGAATAAATTTAAATTTGGGTATTTTAATCTTACTGCATTTGTCTAGGCTGGGTGTGTTACATAGTACTGCTGCTATGGATTCTTTTGCTAGTTCCAGATTTATGGACATAAAAGTGCTGTGACATTGACTGAGACCCTAACAGTACTGTCTTCTATTTTTAGATTTTTATTTTATTTTCTGGACACACTATAGTGGTGAATTGATACAATATTCAATCTCTTCTGTGAGGTGTCCGAGCTTTTGGGGCAAGCCTCTGTCTATATTGCATATTGGGGTCCCTGGTAATAAGATGAAGTGTATGTTGAGGTCATATTGCTGTGTTTTAAAGCTTTTGGGAGACTGCCTTTCCAAATTGCCTTACCTCCAATATACAATTGAAAAAGTTGCAACATACAGAACTGAAACATGTATTATGGCCTAGAAGTTTTGGCAGCCTGTGCAATATCTCCAATTGTTGCTTCTTTAAGAAATGCTGTGCTTGAATGGAAGCTATCTGTTCAATTTTATGCATGATTAAAAGATGAAATATAGGTTAGCATCAAATATATATATGATCTGTGGAAGAAAGAATTGAAATATCCAATTCTGGAAAATTATCAGGACCGGGTGTTAGAAAATATGCAATGTCTTTCCTAGCCTTTTAAAATAAAAGTCATCAGAAAATATTATTTTGGATCTATTCGACTACAAAAAGGATATTTAAAAATTGAGCTATCCTCACCTTCTTACGCTCTTAATGTAAGACCAACCTCAAGTGCTTTGGTTTTGTTCTGTTACAGCTTGTTTTGGTTTCATATGAATACATATGATTTGTGGATTTAGATTTAAGGATCACAATGGGATGCTGACTTATATTCCTAAAATATGGAAATCTTCATGTGCTAAAAATTAAATGGTAGCATAGAAATGTCTAGACTTAGTATTAGAGGTCGATTATTAAGCTAATGATTCATTTAGGCATTTATACCGAATATCTATTCGTTAATTGGATTGTTTGGAAAGCATATTTAGTTCTTTTAATCACTATATTTAGGGTATTTCTATTATATAAGCCTTACTTAAAGGTTCTTAAATTGTAATTCACAATTTTAGTAAATTCACTTCTGTCTCTGGGATCAAAAAAAGTTGAACTACGTCTCTAAAAACAGCAGTGTAGGTGCGAAAGGCAATCAGTAGCCGAATTAAATCTAATCCTTTCCTTTATACTTGAGTCTTGCAATATTTAGACAGCACCGTATAGTCCGTCGTCTTTAGGTAGAAACAAAGAACCGTTCCCAACTCGCCTACTCGGTTTCTCACTAGTGATCTGAAATCCTCTCCCTTGCTGCTCAGTGGAATTTTAGTGTCTCTCCCCCCACCCCAACTTAGATCTCAACCAACTTTCGGCCAATCACAGCGGAGTTTTACCCGAACTGTGGCAGAAGAACGGCGCCGCCCTTACTTTCCAGGAGGCGGGGGCAGCTGGGGGGGTATTTTAGCAGCAAGCGCTCCTTCAATGGTTTCCCCTCTATCTCCTTTTGCCTTTGCCATTGCAATGCCTCTCGATTAGCCCACAGCGGGAGGAGGTTACAATCCCTTTTTCCTTTCAAGGTAGGGCAGAATGCTGGGCATGTACGTGCCGGATAGGTTCGCCCTGAAGTCATCTAAAATTCAAGACGGGATGGGGCTCTTTACGGCTCGGAGAGTGAAAAAGGTGGGTGATCTTTGTTATTGCCCCATTCAGGTGAGGGGCTCGCAGAGGAGGTAAGGCGCAAGCGAAGGTGACGGGGTGGGCGGCTGGCAACCTTTAGTTTTAAAAACTTTTTCAAGCGCCTCACCCCCGCCCAGCCCCGGTTAGTTCTCTGTTTAATGGGAACGCCTGCCACGTATTACAGCCTGCCTCCCTGCTTCTGCCTGCAGCTTTAAGTTCTTGAAGTCCCAACCCCTTCGCTTTTTTTCATTTCGCATCCCACTTCCGTCTGCTCCTCAGCAGAAGATGCTGATGTTTTGCATTCTGAAACGGAAAAGTTTCCTGCCTTCTTCTTGTTCTTACTTAAAAAAAAGATGGACCAAAAGCAAAGAAAGCCAAGGAGAAGCAAGATAGCAGAATACAGCAGCAGAATATTTCTATAGCTTTGAACCAATTTCCAGGGAGTTTAGAGTTAGTCTGGAAGAGGAATGTTATGAAGAAATTTCAAAGATGGATCGGGACGTTCAGTTGTTCACTTTCATTGCAAAAAGTGATCCTTGTTCTATGTACTTGGAACCAATAGAAATTTGGAGCCAAATGATATTTTCCATGGAAAATATTCAGAATGTTGCTACTTGATTCCTGTTTCCCTTACTGCACTATCTTGCATTCCTTGATCAAAGTAATGCTTAATTCACAATTTGCATTTCTTAAAATCAAGAATTCCATACACTTGCATATATGAAGGATAGTAGATGCCAGTTTAAGAGAAAACTACTGTTTTCTCTATGTTGAAAACATCTGCGATTCCTTTTGTTTGTAAAAACATTTGTATTAGATTACATTACTTTAATTAGACTAGGTTAATCTAATTGTACATTGACAGTTTATTGGGAATAATGCAAGAGTCTATATACTGGTGGTACCAGTACCTATATTGGTCCTTCTGGCAGTCCAGAAATATTGATACTTTAGTTTCTAGAATTCCTAGTTGGCATTTCAGGTGGGAATTTCAGAAATTACCTGTGGCATATTTGGGGCTTTGAAGCTGTGGAAGACTGTCATATGCCAAAACCAGAGTCAGTTGGGGGCAGTCCATCATGGTTCAATATGAGTCTCGGCTATTCATTTAATCATTATAGTCAAGCAGTAATTGTTAAAAAGTCATTGCCAACGGAGATGGACAATGTTGGCATTACTAAGGCAGAGAAGCCTTAGTAATTCTGCTTCTCTAGGCTTCTGTTACACTTCAGATGTGCCATTTAGCCTGATTGGAAAAAGAAAATTTTAACAAGTCCATCAAACCTGAAACACAGCATCAGATACTATGCAGCGTATCTCTTAATATTATATCAAATGGAAGTTTTGTGGAGAATGATTTCATTTGCTATGGATATTTATAGGATGGGTTATTCCCTCTTTCTTTGCATTGTGTTTCTGAAATCATTTATTGTTATGGTTTCTTGTACCATCAGAAAAATGGCATTTTTGTCTGCCTATCAAGTCCTACCCAAGGACCTCGGATAGATGTGGATGTTTGATGTTGTTATAGATATTGTCACATGATGTAAGCTGATCCAATGCTTTCATTGCAGTTGACTGATGGTGAATTTGTCATTTTAGATGGTGTTGAAGTGGTGCTCCAGTTGTTTTGGGATTGCACTCAAGGCACCTATTACTGTTGGTACCATTGTTGCTTGCTTTTTATCATGATCATTCTGTTTCTATTTGTAGGTCTTTGTATTTTGTTATCTTCTCCAGTTCTTTCGCTTCTATCCTGCTGTTTCCAAGGCCTGCCATGACCACTCTCCAGATTTTTTAAATCTTTCTTATCAATAGTTTTAAGTTTAGGGTATTAGGTGGCAGGTGCTTATCTGTTTGCATTTTAAATTGCAGAGCACTTTAGCTTCTCCATTTTCTGTTACTTTCCTTATTTTATTGTCCCACCAATTCTTGCTTGCAGGTAAATAATTTTCTTGCAGACTTCCAGTGCACCATTGCCGCTACTTACCAATGCTGCCATTGTTTGTAATCGGTCTGTGCAATATTTCTTCAGCTGGTTTGTTGCAGTCAACTAGATTTATTTATTCATTTACCATATGGAAAATATATGAACTTATAATGGTTCAAATGTTAATGTCCAGCCCATCCAGCCATTCAAGGACAGGTTGGTCTATGTTGAAAATATCAGACATTGGGCCGGTGTAAGCTCTTGATGTCTGCTTTTTTTCAACATGCAACATAGTCAACTAGATGTTTAGACTTAATCCAGAATTTCTGTCCAATACCTAACAAGTCTTTCCCAAGGTCTTGGCATTGTTGGATTTTTTTTAATCCAGTCTTTATTACAAGTAACTCAAGTGGTAGACATTCATAATGCTCCTTCCTCCTTCTATGTTTGCCTTTATAACAACCCTGTAATGTGAGTTGGGCTGGGAGAGAGCCCAAAGCCACCTAGCCAGCTTTCATATCTAAGGTGTGAATAGATCTCCCAATTTTCTGGTTTCTAGCCTAGTACCTTAATCATTATATTAAACTGACTTTATTAATTATATGAATTATGAACCTTTACTTTCATAGCTGATAATTGAGCAGCAGTCTTCTCAGACATACAAGTATTTTTGCTCTTTTTGCTTGAATTGTAAATTTTAACATACAGTTTGATGTCAGCAATTAATAGTAATTTTTCATAAACAAAAGATGCCAATTTTGTTACTGTTGCTAGGGTGAAAAGTTTGGACCATTTGCAGGAGAAAAGCGAATGCCACAGGAACTGGATGAAAATACAGACTGCAGGCTAATGTGGGAGGTAAAAATTCCAGCACTTTGTCTAAGAAATTTTCTAAAGCATTATTTATTAAAGACTAGAGCAGCAATTGTTTGGGGGCAATTAGGAGGCATGGAATTTCTGATGCTTCATTTTCCCCCCTAATATAGTGTTGATGGTGTACATTTTGTCAACACCAGTAAAGGCAGATGAATATGCAATATGCATAAACTTGATTTATTTTAATGTAATGTATAGTTTAACAAACCATGTTTGTGCTATAATTAAACCATAGAATGAGTGATTTATCCATTTAATGTTTATGGTGCTAAAATATTTTATGATGTAGAAGATGAAAACTTAAGAGTTGTAGCAGATGTTTAATTCTCAAATGTCTATGCTGAAAAGGTAGCTAACCAACTATAAAGATCCTGGTGTGTTCACCAAGACTAACAACTTGTAAATACAATACAATTTATGTGTTTATCTATTTAGTATTCATTCGTTCATAGAAAGAGATGAATTTCATAAAAAATATAGTGCTATGATAATTAAGCATAAGGAGGTGCTTGTGCAAGTAGTTGTTTTAAGATTAAGGCTGTGATTTGCTAAAGTGCTTCAGAAATTCTCAGAAAGTTATAGCATATAAATTATAAATTCCATCCACATGTCCCAGTGTTGATCTTAGTGTCAATACTTTTCAACATAATTTTACTTGAAAAAATTGAAAAGAAATAAAATTAAATTTCATTTCAATGTATAATTGACATATCTTCCCAATTTCCTACATAAATGTAACCACCAGTTCCATAAAGGATGAAGGCAATCACTGGAAAGAAGAAATGTTCATAGCATTATATTCTTGAACTAGTAGAAATAGATTCATAGAAAACTTAGTCCTGTTGAGGACAAAGAAAGGAGAACGAAAGGAGAACGAACCTATAGAAAATTTTCATTAGTTGTAAAGAAGATATGAGATTATGAAAAAATAGACAATTTACCAAACAACCTTGAAATATATATGAATCAGTATATTATGAATCAGTATGAACATTTCTTGAATGTTGAAAACAGGTTACCAAAATTTATAATAGCTATGTAGCTGATGTAGTAACAACTCAATTTCTTTGTCATTGGCTGTAATATATTCATTAAAAAATAATTGAAAAGATTTATATATTGTCCAGTGGGTCAATGGCACAGCAGTTAAAGCTGCTGGGATCAAAATGTTAAGCTCCCAATACTTAGCCTAGCTTCTGTCCACTAGCAGATAAATAGGTACCACTTTGGTGGGAAGGTAGCAGTGTTCTGTGCCCCTTGGCATGTAATCATGCTGACCACATGAGCACAGAAATGTCTTTGGACAATGCTGGTTCCCTCAGCTAAGAAACGGAAATGAGAACCACCCCCTAGAATCGGACAAGGAAAACCTTTACCTTTATATTCTGTCCATCCATATAATTAATGAAATGGAGCTGTTGTAATTTTGAAATTCTAAATTATTTGTTTTAATTTGCATAGATTGCTTTAGAGGATACAAGAAGTTCATCTTGAAAACTTCAGCTCTTATTTTTGAACAACATGAAATACCCCAGTATTTTATTAGTAACATATCAAAAGCTGGAAAAGGATAATGGAGTCTTTCAGTACTCAGAGGATGTGGTGTGTTCCAGCATCATTAGATCCTTGTTGTAACATGTTCTTGAAATAGACAGAATCAAACACATAAGCTGATAGGAATTGTGTTAATTAATCATTTTGATTATTTACTCTCATAAGTATATTGCTTCTCATATTTCACTGGTCTTTGTTAATTAAATACTTTTATTTTGCTAAAACCATGGTTTGTCTTGAGAACTTGGTTATTGACTGATAAGGATGTGTAATGCATTTATTGAAGAAGCCATAACCTCGGGTTTTATGACTTTTGGCACAATATTTTAACTTTTCTTTTCCCTGACCTAGTTTTTGGATCATGCAGAGATTTTGGATCATGCAGAGATTGCTGCATGCCAGCTTTGATGGTTTTATGAATGCTTGAAGCTAAGCAGCTTATGTTTAAATGTGATGATCTGAATAGAAGAGTTGTAAGATATACAGTAATGTTGTGAGCTCCAAGTTTATTGCTAGGAGTATGTAAAGTAGAAAGCAGCTGTCCAATTTATTTAGATCAGGGCTGTCAAACTCCCGGCTACGGGCCAGATGTGTTACGCACTGGCCACACCCATGCCCGATTTAACGAAGGGGAGTCTTGATATGTCACGTGATGCCACTGTGATTATGTACATTTGACATCCCTGATATAGTCTTTCCAGAAAGTATGAAGACAACTTCTGTTTGCCAAGTTGGCATTTGTTTCTACAATATTTATTATTAATTTAGCCACATTGAAAACATGTTTCTATATTTGATTAGATATGTTCAAATAGAGGAATAAAAGTATAGGTTTTTGAACCTTACTAGGCAAGCATTTAGATAAGCAAACTTAAACTTATTTTTTTTTTCAAAATTGATTTGAATAGTATATCTGATATTAGGAAAATGTTGATCTATAAATAGCACAGATGCTCTAAAGACTGATCATCACACTAGTTCTGTCATTGTGCAATGAAGAAATAGTATTATCATTATATAGATGTAACAGTTTTTAATATTTTACCATATTCACTTGAAAAGAAAGATTACTTCCTTATGACCAGTATGGGCAACTTATTTATTTATGAAATTTAAGAAATTTATATTGTTGCCCATCTCACTTATGGTGAGTGGCTTACAAAGTAAGATTCCAAATACAAAATTCACTATGTTCCTACTTCCTTGGTGACAACATTCAGCGAAACCACTTGATGGGTTCCGTGTCAGGCTGGGATCTGCTGGTGAAACCGTATTTTCAGTCCTTGCCTTCTTCCATTTTTTAGCTAGGAAGCTGTTGAAAATGAATGACTGTCAAAAAGGCACAAATAATTAATGCAAGAAGCTGAAGCAGGAAAATCTGCTGCATTGCTTCATGAGAGACAAGTTTAAGAATATTGGACCTGTTTTCTCTTATTACCTTCTAGATGTAAAAGATGCTTCCCTTCCAGGGAGATTCCCATCAGAACATTGCCAATTTTTTGCTTTTATCCCACCTTTATTATTTTTACCAATAACTGAAGACAGTGAACAAATACAACACACTTTCCTTTTCCTATTTTCCTCCCAACAATCAGTCTATGAGGTGAATTGGGTTAAGAGAGAGTGACTGGTTCAAAGTAACCCAGCTGGCTTTCATGGCTAAGGTGGGATTTAAACTCAGGCTCTCCTCCTTTGTAGCCTAGTGCCTTAACCAGTAAACCAGACTGGTTGAATTATAATTTCCAGTTTCTGAAAAGCTATTACATCATGATAATTTGCCAATATTTGCCATATTTTTTAAAGTTGTTACTTGATTGTAACTACTGAAGGTTTGATTTATGTCAGCAAGATCCATTTGGAATTAGACAGTCAACTAACTATTATTACCATGTTTAATACATTTTATGGAAACCAGCTTTAATATAAGAATACTTTGTCACTCTCTGATGCATGAATTGGGCCTTAATGACACTCAGGGAATGAGTTGCCTCCATGGTATTTTCCACAAAACTGTGAGGTTCATATTTTTTAAAAGTTGACCCTTTTGTGAAAGTATTGTGAGGTGTTCACATTTGCATGGTCTTTTATATTTGTAAAATAACTAAATAAATATAGACAAAGTACAATTCTTTTTCAAGTGCCAGCCTAACAATTATTGCCTCTTTTAGAACGGATATGTGTTCTGTCCCCTCCCCTTCATGGCTCATTAACAAACGCAGGCAGGCAACTTAAAAGGAAGTCTTTCTTTATCAGTTTTCAGTTGAAACTGGCTTCGAGCCCAAAAATAACATAAATACAAGTCTCCAACAAGAATGCAAGACAAAAGACTCTTACAAGTATTGCACTTCTTCCACAGTCTCCACGGATCAGGTTTACATGAAACACCAAAGCACTTATCCAAGTGTAACAGGCATAAATCACGATTAATAATCAGTGTTGTACCAAACAAGGAACACACGAAGGAACGTTGACTCCAGTGACTGGGGCGTGGCAGCATCCGTCCTTTTATCTCCAAACTTGCCTCCCACAAGCCCCAGCTGCATACTGAATCTTGTATCCCGAAAAAACTCACAGCAGAACTTCTGAGTCACAACAGATATGTATATGTGGTAAAGATGAAATTGAAGATATCTCTCATGTTTTATTGTACTTTGAGCTATACAGAGTTCATAGGTCAGCATATATTCTCCCCTTACTAGAGAGTGCCAAGAAGGGCAGACAATTTGAACCCGTCTACCACGCATGCAGTGGCAAAATTGTGCGTTGCTTCAATGTTCACAAGAAAAAAAATGATTACAGAATTATAGTTGTGATATTTGGAGATATCTCTAACAATTTCTTGATCATTATATTTACTCACATACTTATCGGCTTTTCACCCACTTGAGTGACCCAAACAGTTTGAGAGCATGCATTTTCTTAACAGGGATATTATTATCCACTTTTAATGTCAGTACTTTTTTAATATATTGTAAAAAGTAATGTCTATTGCTGGTCTTTGACCATAATAAAGATATATTCTATTCTTCTATCCTTGCCTCTTTTAAAAAATAGAGTTACATTTGGCTTTTCTTGTTACTTTTCCTGTGACAAAGAGATGATGGTTGTAATCTCTAAAAAGCCATGGAAAATGTTCTTGTAATATCAGTAAAGGTATTCATTCACAGCATAGTAATGGATATTTCTTCAAGTCCTTGGATTAGTCTCCTGGCAATAGATTTTACTTTAATAGCTATCTTTAATATTTTTATGTTTGTTATTTCCCATCAAGAACTTTTATATGTATGGGTACAACGTAAGGAAATTGGATACAAATTGTAAACAGTGATTTGGAAAGGAGGATTAGAAATTTTTGTTACTAAATATTATTGATGTTTAGTCAGAATAGGCCATAAAGTTATAGTGTATGTGGTCAGTTTTAAATCGTGGTACATTTTATGATGAAGGACGTTTAAACAATTATAGTCAAATGAAAATGGAGGTATGATGATGGTAATATGTATAAAAATATCTGATTTAATACTTGAGTTAATATGAATTGTGTGACGACAGTGGAAGAGACACACGAAAGCTTTTTGTAACCAACTGATACACTTTCAACAGTATGTAAAGAAGGAGGATTCTTTGTGTTGTGTTTGTTTTGAAAATTTAAAATAAAAAAACTTTTAATAAAAAAGAACTTTTATATGTGGATTGTGTCTGTGGTTAAAATAAAAATCTTTTCAAATTCAACATCCTAATTTTTCAGATTCTTTTAAAAATGTTGGTATTCAAATACATGAATTTCTTGTATTCATATTATTTTGTAATAGTCATATTTAATCATGTTTACCATTTGTGTACTTTGGTTTCTTTGACATTCCAATTATTGTTATTAACAGATTCATATTACCTAATTTGCATTTTTTGATTAAATGCCAGGGGGACTCAAAGCATCCAGTAATAGCAGGGGTACAACAGTGAGATTCATCCGATGGAAAGAAAAATTAATATGGGGGTTTGACCATACAAATGGAAACTGTTTACTGGAAAAATTCTTTTGAAATATTTATTTGATATCAATATGTAACCTTTAAGACAAGTTTTTTTATTCTAGCAGAAGATTCAGGTTAGCTTCCTTTTACTTTATACAACTAGGATAGACTTTTTTATGCTGAATTTAAACATGTCTATTTAGGATTCTTTGATGTGACAACTAGTTTCAGGTGCAACTTTTCTTAGATAGGTGCTATGTTCATACTCCCTACTGCCAACTACCTTTAAGTGATCCAATCTGAAGTTCTATACTGTATAATACATAAGAATTATGTTCTTATGGAAAAATTTACTTCCAGATAGGTTAATCCAAGATAAGAGTATTTAATGTTGATTGTATGTCACAGTAAGTTAAGTAAGTTAAGTTAATTACATCTCTTTTATAGTGTTAAGTTTGGTCATGGTTCGTGGAATAGCTCCTTCATAAATGTATGGAACCTTCAGTGAATTTTAGCCTTTACTAGGATGTCAGAAAAATAAAAACCTTTTAATAGTTTATTTTCATGTGAATTTCTTATCCTTAAATCACTTCTGCGTAAAGTTTGTTGAAGTGAATACAATTTTCTATCCCATCGGTTTCAAGATCTATGCAAGGCTAATGTTGAGCAGTACAAGGCTTCGTATGTTATGTTTCAAAATTAAATTACAGTCTAGTCATGGAATATTTTTTCCCTACTTTTTATACTGTTTCTTGCAGTTTTTATATAACAACAATCTAACAAACGCTTTTCAGAATTGCAAGCAGTGTGTTTATTAAGTGCAGAGAAAGCCATCTGTTTATCCTCATTGTTGTGCTGACATTTTTCTTGACTGGCTGCAAAGTATTTGACTTCAATTCATATCCCTGTACAACAAAATAAATTCCACTGTGTAATATCTTTAGTCAAATTAAAATGTGATTTCATTTTACAGCCATAAGAAGGAGGAGAATTATCAAGCAAGTTACCTGAACCATGTTGAGAAGCATGCTCTTAAAGATCTTCACACCTTTTCTACCACTACAATTATTATTTTTGATACTCAAAACTTGAGTTGAGGGGGTGATCCATTTTGAAACAACTAACTTCAAAGATCATGTTTATATTGTTTGATAAATGTAACTGCTTCAGAAGAATTTTGAACCTGGCCATTAATATCATAGTATGCCAGCAGGCTTTAAAAATTTAACAACCTGGAGGAAAACAACCCAAATATATGAAGTTAGAAAGTGCAACAAGTCAACCAGAAAAGCTTTAAAAAAAAGATAGTCTGGTTGCAAAGCAGAGATTGAAGTTACATGTGGAACAAAGTAGTATCAGTCTAATTTAATACTTTGAAAGTTATTTTTGTATTATGTTCTTCTAATTTCTTATTAACTGAGTTTTCAGTACTTATTCTATTGAGAGTGACTTTAATTCTATAGCAACCACAAGATTTTTCTTTTGTTTTTATCTCTGTATAAGAAACGTGTGGAAAAAGTATGCTAGTGAGAATATTATGCAAACAACAGTAATAGTACATTTAGTATAGAGGCTGCTTACATTTGAGAAATGAAAAGACAAATCTATATATAGGAAAACTTATATGTCAAAGAATAAATCAGATTGATTTGCATTTTAAAAAACCATCGTCATGCAATTTATATATGATAGTAATAAGATAAAATGCATATGAGTCCTACTTTTGTGAGGTTGTAAATAAAAATGGTAATGATTTTGTATAGCTTTTGCTTCATAGTACATCTGCATAAATGGAATATTAATGAGCTATCAAGAAAACTAAGAAATCGTGAGATATCCTATTTTCTGATAAGTTCCTTATGTTTCAAGCAATCTTGCTTTATACTGGACTGTGGTCATAGCATTTTCCAAAAGAAGGTTCCAATTTCAACAATTTCATTACTTGTCTGCTTAGTATAATGTTCAATTTTGTGTACTCAAGCAGTCCCTTCAGGCTTTTAAATGTTTCATGTTGAAAACACAGCGTAACCTATTCTGGTTGTGGAAATGTCATTCTTTTTGAAATGTGATAGTTTTAATTTCATCCATATTCATATCGGAATTAACACTGGCTTTGCTTGTCTGCCCAAGCCCTTCCTCCCTCCCCCAGTTCTATATTGGTCCCATAAATTGCATTTCTATAGTTACCTCTTTAGGGAACAAATTCTTCTTTTTTAAAAAAGATTAGTAGGTTGTGGAGATTAATGCCTGCTAAACTTCAAGAATTGGCTCTTTGTCTTCCCCCAGCCCTAAAAAATGATCATTTCAGCCTGTTTATTTTGGACATCATCATCATTCAAATCTATTGTGTTTACTATTCCACAATCCCAATCCATAATCCCAACATTGCGACCATTCCAGCAGACAGTGTTAAAGTTGAAAACAATTGAAGTGTACTAAAATTCCAAGTTGGGTAGGGCAGTTGGATCTGGGGTGCAAAAATGCATGACAACTAGAATGGCAGGAAGGAGTTAGCCTATGATCTACAACTTTGCTGCCATTTAGAAGTCATCTGGATTTTTTGAACACTGATCTAGTTACCTAAAGATGGAATTCAGAAAGTTAATGTATTTATTGATCACCTGAGAATTAAATATTTACCCACTGTGACAATTACTAATAATTTTCATCCCACTAAACCAGGCATGTCCAAAGTCTGGCCCCTGGGCCAATTGTGGCCCATTTTCAAATTTCGAGCGGCCTGCAGCCTCTTCTCCCCACCGATTCAGCCTATCATTAATCCCTGCCAGCGTTTCAATTTTAAAAAAACTCATTAATAAAATAGAAGTTAAATATGATTAAGCAAATCATGATTTAGCAAGTTATTTCTATCAGTCAATGCTTTCCTGAATGTTCCCATCTTACACCGCTATTTCTTGAGCATTATATTGTTCACAGAACCCTTTGCACATGAGTTCATAGCATGTATTAAATCTTGGAAAGATAAAAAATACTAACATTTTCTATCCTATTTGTTCATTCCCATTTGTAAGAAAATGCCATAAATTTGAAAATGTAGCTTTAATGGATTATATTCTCTTTTTTCTGAATAATTTGAATATTCATGCTAAGGAGGAATGATATATTAGAATATAAGATCATATGCAATATATTTCATTGCCATATCATTCCTGATTCCTAACTTTCCCAAGAAAAATGTAAGGTAGAAGATCCAAATGAAAATGCATAAGATATATGTATTAATATACCATGCCATTTAATATTATTAAAACATAAATTTTCCTCTTTAGAGGGCCTTAAAAAGAAGCTCAATTTTTTACTTTGTAATATAAAATCATAAAAGGTATATGTTTTCAAGCAGCAGCTGGAAAAATGAGGTAGCTACATGCTGTGAAGAACAATAAGATGTTGGTTTTGAAAGGCAAATGAAGGGGAATATGAGGAATTGTAAGTGCTAATAGAAGCCCAGATGTGTTTACCTTTTCTCAACTTATATTTGACGTTGGGCAAATTGCCATTCCTGCAAATTTTGCTCATTTTCATATGAACAGAGCACCCCACTGTCATTCTTGTAGTGAATCTATCTCTGACAGTCTCTAATCCCTACTTTGAATTTTGGACCAGCCTGTTGTGTAAATTCAGCTTTGTGGTTTGTTAAACATTGTTTATGGTTTAGCATGATATTTGAACTCAATTATTTTGACTTATTTAATAAATCAAATTTTCATATGATACATGAACACAACCAGAGATTTATTTTTATTAGAAAATAATAAAATGAGAACTTGGGTTTTTTCATTTTTGTAGTGTTAGCTTTATATCTTTCTCAGTTTTTTCAAAGATTTAACTTCGCTCACATTTTATTACCCTTTCAGGTTCGTGGAAATAAAGGTGAAGTGCTTTATGTTCTGGATGCTAGCAATCCAAGGCATTCTAACTGGTTGCGATTTGTACATGAAGCTCCATCTCAAGAACAAAAGAATCTGGCAGCTATCCAGGTAAATGTATCCAGTTCTTATTAGATTTCCAGTTCAGTCTTCCGTGTCTACTCATTATATGGTATAGTTTATGGTATAGGATGGCAGCCATAAACTGCTGAAGTCTTAGCAAAGTGCTAGGTAACTAGTGGCAGTTGTATTGATTATTTTGGACCACAGCTCAGATCATTCCTGGTGATCTTGAATGCTGGCTGAGAATAATAGTACATGGAATTGAATAATATCCTTAGGGAATTCACAGATTTTGTGACTTGGAGCCCAGTAACATTGCTTGTGTTATATGTTTCTGTCCTATTACCATAGGATTCAGTTTCATACAAGCAAATTTCCTTGGTAGCAGCAAAAACAAACAAACAAACAAACCAGAAGCCATGACAGGACAATATTTTTGAGCAAGTATATGTCACAAATATTCAATATGCATGATATGACAAACATTTTAATTTGTTCCTTCCAAAACCAAAAGAGGGGTGTTCCTTGTATCTCTCACTGTGGTTTCCTTTTGATTTCTTTTTGTTACTGTAAATGCTATTTTGTTATTCCAAGTATAAAATAGAATCACTGGAACAGAGACAAAAGACATCAAAATAAACAATGTGAAAAAATATTTTGCAAACAAGGGTCAATTATGCTGTATTAGGAGCAGAGGGAAATGTTATTCTAAACTGTTTTTGTAATGTTTAAAGTACATTTGTAAGTATGTTGTTTCATGAGCAAGTTTAGATTTGAAAACATGTCATAAGCTAATGAAGATGCTGTCCTGGCTGTACATTTACAAAATGATAATCACAAAGAGTGTCCACTTACAAAACAATAATTTATGAAACAATTCCTGCAGCTTACCTTACTTTTTTTCTGGAACTTGACTAAATTTAAAACAATATTTTGGCTATACTTTTCTAAGATTAACAACTTTATTTCTAATTTTAGAAATGTAAACATTCCTTTTTTTAGATTGAAAAAATTGATTGGATGTTGGGGGATGATGGGCAGTGGTGTAAGTTGCCACAAAGACCACATAAGCAATTTATTTTTTCAGTTTAAAGATAATTTGTTTACAGTTGATATAGGCAAAATTGTGACAGGTTTTAAGTTGAAATCTCTTTATAAAATAAAACTCATTTAGTTGGTGACTTTTTATCATTTTTAGTGATATATGAAAATGCAGTAATTAAACATTAACCTAAATAGAAACAGATTCTATCCTATGTCATTATAAAACAGAATTATAAAACTGTAATTTTAAGTACACTTTGTGAATATTAAGTTTTGTAATTATATTATTATATAATAAACATATTGGAGTTCACAATTTTGTTGTCATGTTTCATCTTTGAGATATTCATGATAAATGTATTGCCTCTAAGGTAGAAATGTGGTTATTTAAAATGACTGTGATTGTGCCAGTTTCAAACCATGGACATAACCATGAAGTTATAACAGAGTTGGAAGGCTCCTTGCAAGTCTTGTAGTCCAACCCCCAGCTCAAGCAGGAAACCCTATAACATTTCAGACAAATGTTGTCCAATCTGTTCTTGAAAACCTCCAGTGTTGACACCCACAATTTCTGGAGGCAAGTTGTTCCACTGATTAATTGTTCTAACTGTCAGGAAATTTCTCCTTAGTTGTAGGTTGTCTTTCTCAATGGTTGGTTTCCATCCATTGCTTCTTTTTTTGTCTTCAGGTACTTTGGGTAATGGGTTGACCCCATCTTCTTTGTGACAGCCTCACACTGCTGTTATGTCACCTGCTATCATGTCCTTCTTTTCATTACACTAGATGTACAACTGTTTTTCATTTGTTTTAGTTTTCAGTCCTCTAATTATTGTTGTTGCTCTTCTATTCAGTCTTTCCAGAATCTTGGCATCTGTTTTATATTGTGGTGACCAAAACTGGATGCAGTATTCTAAGTGAGGTCTTACCAAGGCATTATAAAGCAGTACTAACACTTCATGTGATCTTGATTCTATCCTTTGGTTAATGCAGCCTAGGATTGCATTGGCTTTTTTGGCAGCTGCAGCATGCTGGCTCATATTTAAATGGTTGTCTGCTAGGACTCCTAGATCCCTCTCGCAGTTGCTGCTATTGAGCAAGATTCCACTTATTCTATACAAGTAGATTTGGTTTCTCTTGCCTAAGTGTAAACTCTTTTCTCACCACTGAATTTCATTTTGTTAGATAAGGCCCAGTGTTCCTATTGGATCTTGAGCCTTTCTTCTGGAGTGTTGAATATTCCTGTCAGCTTAGTATTGTATGCAGATTTGATGAGTTATTCTTTTATTCCCTCATCTAAATTAAGTATGAAAATACTAAAGAGTACTAAAGAGTCTAAGATACTACCTTGGGGTACTACACTCCTTACAGTACTTCCCTCAGTGTACTATTAGTTCCATTAAGAACTACATGTTGAGTATGGTTGGTCAACCAGTTACAAATCCATCTGGTGGTGATGCTGTTTAACCCACGTTTTTCTATCATATCTAGTATGGGTAGTCCTCAACTTACATCAGTTTGTTTAATAACTGTTCTAAGTTACAATGGCACTGAAAAAAGTGACATGACTATTTTTCATTGTTACACAACCTTTGCAGCATCCCCATGATTACGTGATCAGAATTTAGAATTCAGATGCTTGGCAATTGGTTCATATTTATGACCGTTGCTGTGTCCCATGGTCATGTGTTTTTGTGACTTTCTAATGAGCAAAGCCAAATTCACTTAACAACTGAGTTATTAACTTAATAGCCGCAGTCATTCACAACAACTATGGCAAGAAAGGTTGTAAAATTAAGCAAAACTCACTTAACAAATGTCTCACTTAACAACTGAAATTTTGGGCTTCATTGTGGTTGTAAGTTGAGGACTACCTGTGAACTACTGTGATTAATTTCAGTAAGTTCTAATTGTTTCTTGATGACTCAAATAACTTCTTGTTTTAGAAATAGATTTAATAATAGTGAATTTCTAAAATAATTTTTTCTCCCAACAGGAAGGAGAAAACATTTTCTATCTAGCTATTGAGGATATTGAAACAGATACCGAACTCTTGATTGGTTACCTTGATAGTGATATGGAAGAAGTAGAGGAAGAAAATGAAGAGGAAGGCATTATTAACCAGGAAGAAGAGGATAGCAACAACAACAGTAATGGCACTCATAAGGAATTGCAACAAAATAATGAAAAAGGTATGATGAATAATTTTAAAATAATTTTAACTTCTAATTTAAAACATCTCTTGATAGTGAGAAGAATGAATGGATACTGAATGAATGTGAATTGAATGCAAAAATGAGTGACCAGTACAAAAGATATATGTTGAATTAGTTAGGCTACAAGCAGAATGAGTGAGATTCAAATCACAAAGCAAAAATTTCAAAGAAGAATGAAAGAGTCAAAAGAAAAGGGAAAATAATTATGTTAGAACGGAGATGATATAATCTAAAAAAGAAAGAGTTGAGAAGTTTAAAGAACAAACCTTAATATATGACTTTATATATGAATATGGTGGAATCAAGAATGAAATAGAATAGAATTCTTTGTTGGCCAAGTGTCTTTGGTCTTTGGTGCATATGCTCTCAGTGTACATAAAGGGAAGAAAAGAAAAAATGCATTCATCAAGAAGCATAAGTTACAATATTTAGTGATAGACATAGGTTACTAATAAGCAATTAAATTACATTAGGAAACAGAACAATATAAATCGTAAAAATACAATCACCGTGGTTATAGTCATGAGTAACAAGAGCTTGGTAATCATAAGATACAACACTTAGTGATAGTCATAGGTTATTAATAAGCAATCAAATCATACTAGGAAACAAACTGAAAGCAGTAGGCATGACCTTGCCATCTTTACCATCTCCTTAATTGGCTCTTATCCATCCCGCCTACAACTGCAGCCCTCAGAGTTTTACACCTACGAACAAACTATATCGGCTCAATCAGCATTACCTCTTGCTGCCCTAGTGACATCACTCCGGCTATCCAGACCCTACGTTCTGCTATACGTTTGGCAACCCGGATCCAACATCCTTGGCGGTCCGTTTAACCATCTGGACTTTTTTGGGATTTTGCGACCTTATCAGAGGGGGAAACACCACCCTCCCCCCCCCGTATACCTTCAATGGATTGGAGCTGGGCTCTTAACTATTTTAACGACTAACTGCCATAGGAAGGGAGAGGAGCGGAATACCTCTCCCCTTCCCCCTTCTCACTTTGTCCCATCCTAGATTGCGCAACTTAGTCTCCGCATTTTATGAATGAGGTGTGAATGATGTGACTGTTGGTGTATGTGCCCACTTTTAACCCCTATCATTGTTGT